CTCTGCCTCCAAAGCTATACGTTCGTGATCACGTTTAACTCGGCTACGATGGGATACGCATTATCGACGAAGGCGATGATCACAAAATCCTTCTTCCAGACTTTCCGCCTCAGTTTAGCGCCATGCTTTTGGTTTTGCCTAAAGTCGCAGCGTTTTGCATTTCCCCATTCATCTCTGGTACAGCAAGTGATGATTGCCCTATCTACCTGTTGAACTTCTTTACCGACTGATGATACCTGTAACACGATCCTTGATTTAATATTAAACTCAAATTGAAGTGATACCTACGTTACCGACTAAACATATCTAGTCTATTCTACCGGTAAGTTTAATGCTTTACCAACCTATGATGAAAATGTACCTGATTATACAAAGCGGGTTTTTTGTCTGCGGATGACGTAATTATTTTTAATAAAACGACTTATATAGCTCTTACTTTCAGCGTGGAGGCAATCCTGTCTTATAGCGTAGTGCTACTAGACTGACAGTATACGCGAATTATTATTCTTATTCGAGGTAGACGAGTCCTAAGAAGACTGGCACCGATATATGTGCAATAATACCGATAGCGTATCGTTCAGAAACAGCTGTATATTTGTTCGCGGTTGGTGGTTCAGGACTGAGGAATTCCTCGAGAGTGAAACATGACTGGTATCATTCTCACGTAATCCAAAGCCGAGTGAAGAGTGTCGAAAAACTTTAGACCAGTGACAGTGATTAGAAAAAAATTTTCATTCAAAATGGGCAATTGCTACTCAGCATTCTCAAGATTTAGAGCCGTATTCAAACCGCAAGATCTTGGAGCATCTTTACAGCCACTTTGCACTAAACCCGAATGTCTTCCAAAACCACCAAAATCTTCTGTGTCTGGTCAGTACCTATAATCAATTGTAAATACGATAATTACATGATAATCAATAATTAAATATTTGAGTACGACTCAAAGTATTCACTGTATTATTATATACATAGAATTCAATTAGCAGTCTCAACTTTTGATTATTTTCTATAAATATTCCAAACGCTACTCGGTACCTTTGATGTTTTTTATTTGACAATAATCACGCGTAGAGTAATATAAAGTAGTCAATTAAAATTCTCATAACTCTCATTATCAATGCACTTTAGATAGAACTATGACTCGGATGATATACATTCACAATCAGATTCATCGTAAAAGCTCCATTGCGCTTGACCCTACTACTAAACGAGGTTAACAGCCATGACATTAGATATAATGAAAGAAAATGAAATTAATATTTAAAAAAAAATAGTGAAAAAAATTAATAAAATTCACCATTACTTTCACATAACCATAAATATGATGACCGTATTAATTCTTTAAATTCCTTACATTAATCATCAACTCTTGCCCAATTAATTTCAGATTTATTCGTCTTACTCATATCCGCCATACTTACTAACGGAAGATCCGGCTGCATCATATTCCGTGAAGGAATCGTATGATGGCGCTAAATGGGTACTGATGATTTTTTCCAGTTACTATTTAAACCCGAGTATGAGAAAATCATTTCAATACCATGCTAAATGCACGTAGTGGTATACATATAAAATGTAAATCACGTGCGAGCTACAAATTCCTACTCAAATATGTAACACGTTACATTCAGATTTATTATAAGGAGGCAGTATCGAATTTGCATAACGAAGATGAGTATAACGTGTCAAATATTTAACTAGGAATTAATTCCTAGTATAGGAAGAATCATTGCATTCAATGAGTAGATTACTGAAAATTTATTTTTTGGGGTATTATCAAATTTGTTCCAACTGTTATCATCTTCTTCGCCAAAAAAAAAATTTACATACACAAGAATTCTCAGGATACCGATCAGTCGCGTAGCGACACATTTAATATTATTCTTCCGGTATCCCAACCTCAAAGTACACAAATGAAAAGGACTAGGTGTCACTCGAATATCTAGCCGATGACGTCACCAGAGCATTTCCAGTGTTTAGTTCAACTGGAGATTAGCTTGTACGTACGCCTTCCTCAAAATGCACAATGCTGATTGCCTTGATCCACTCACCCAAAATAGACGCTCCTACCTTCTTCGAGGAAGCAGCGCCTCCCACCATGATGAATCGAATACTAAATGCCGAATCGGTTGGATAGTCATCCGAGAATAGTCAATGCTAAAAGCCACGTGTTTATCTCGATCAACCAATATTATTTTTCATGATTGTATTTTCTTGTGCTTTACGAGGATAAATATTATTGCTGTTAAGACAGCTGGAACTTCGTTATATTTTCTAGGTGCAGTTAGGTGCACCAGGAAGTCATTTTATGTACGTTACCCAAGTGCATTCTATATGCGTTTATGAGTTGCAGCTTCCTCTCCCATCTACACAAGGCCGAGTAACGAACGGGATGGCATCTTGCTTGTAACTTTTACGATAATTGTCATGTAAATTTAATTGCGTAATTCAGTGTCGCGGCGTCTTAATGTATATTGTTTCTGAGCTGCGGGATGATCGCAGAATTTATCGCAATGGAAATTGTATATTAAACACGAGAAAGGCACCACGTGTTCTGACAAACGTTATTTACTCAAGCAATCCCAAGTTAAGGGTCGATCAAGAGAATTGATTGGGACGTGTGGAAATTTATGTGTCTACATACGAGGGAGCTTCGGACGTGATTTACGACTTTCGGACACTTTACTCTCATGGTAAAGAAGAACGTCCAGGCGCATGAGATTTCTTGCGGCAATGATTACCATAAGAGGATTTATTACCGTATGAGTTAACTACGGGTGACAGTACTGTTGGCTGATGTCAGTTTTGATTATGCAGAAAAATAGTTACGTGAGAATGATACTGGGTAACAACAGTACGCACGAATCATCTGGTATCGTGAAATATTCTAGGGATAGTTTCAGGATATAATGATCTGACGTAATCATTGACTATATTTAAATATCTCATTTACACGTTAAATGACATTACGCTGGTATATTTTTTTAACCAAGTGCTAAATTTAGTTATGAGTAAAATCAGGACGAATCGTCATTGTAATAGTTTCTATGTAAATTGTGATAATTTATTATTACACACACCAGCATGATTATCGTGTACGACAACGTACCCTTTTATATTTCCCAAGAACTCTCAAGGATAGTTTCTAAATAATTGCAAGGCACGTGTGGATTTCCACATATGACCCTATAAAAAGTATCTTTGCCAATACCAAATATAGTAATTATTTTTTTAAATGTATTACCAACCACCTGGTCCCTAGATCCTCATAAGGCCATCGAATAGAGAAATCATTGATGATATCAGATGTTATCAGAATTACATAGTAATGACTTGAAAACGTAACATTTCTATTGCCGGTATGAGTAATGATGAAATAACGATATAATCAAGTGATCGTAGTCATGATAGTGACTAATTTTGGGTGTGATTAATTAAATGAAAAAAAATTTGGATGCTTTTTTTTTCGGTCAACTCGAATCAAACGGTTATGTTTTAAATAAGTTAATGACGTCTGTTCCTTCCCGGTACAGTCTTTACATGTCATTAGGATGCTCATAATCAATTACGATGACTTAAACGATCATTCAATTAAGACAAAGTGGGTGGAAATCCTCCTCCCACCTGCCGGTTGATTATTACACGCAGGTGAAACCATGTAAGGATTCATCTAGCGTGTCGTGTAAACCTTGAGCTCTCTCCCAGAATGCATCTACATACGTTGCACCTCTCTTGTTTTAATTCTTTTTTCTTTCTTTTTCTTTGTGCCTTACGAAGAACGCACTCACGTGTGGACCGAGCGCAAAGCGTAAAAGGAGTTAGATCCGATCGATCGGCAACAGTAGGAGATTTGTCTCTGGATCGATTAAAACTGTAAGGTAGTTGTGGTGGTGCAAAAAAAATGTATTATAGATTTTACGATCGTTACCGTTCCTCCAACGACAGACGGGCGAAGCCATTTCCGTTTTTATTTTACTGTGAGTTAATTTCCGGTTGACGGTATAAGAAAGCCTGTTAATATTTTTTTTTGTATTTTGAAAAAAAAGTCGAAATTTGAATTTTTTTATTAATTGAAAAATCTTCCTCTTTTCTTTCGTTTCTTTTTTTTAGGGGAGGATTTCGGTGTTCCGATTCTTTCCGTAGTTGGGGTTGATCCTTGCATCAATGAAAACGGCGAATACCACAGGACGTCCCGTTACGAGATTATGAATCGCGATGGCGACAAAGCGAAACTGGTTGTAAGAAGAGGGCAGGCATTTTTTTTAAAACTTATGCTATCCAGAAATTATCAACCTTCGACCGATGGCGTCTCGTTGGTTTTTACTTTGGATGGCGTTGAAAAGCCGCAGTATGGTCATGGGACTTTGGTGGCTACGCCTGTTTTAAGTCCTGGGGATCCTTCGGAAGGTTCCTGGCAAGCAGTCATAGACACTGTCGAAGAGAACACAATGAAGATCCGAGTAACGCCATCTGTGAATGCTTATATTGGAAAATGGAAGCTTGATATCGACACCAATAGGAAAGGTGATGGTGCTGTGAGTTACACCATGGAAAATCCATTTTACATGATTTTCAATCCATGGCACGAAGGTATGTCTATGTGTATTATTGTGTGGTATTTTTGTTGAAAATTTATAAAAATTAACTATTTCCAGACGATACAGTCTACCTGGAGAACGAGGATCAGCGCCAGGAATACGTAATGGCCGAAACTGGTCTCATTTGGCGCGGTAGCCACAATCGTTTGAGACCAACTGTTTGGAAATATTCTCAATTCGAACGTGACATTCTTGACTGTGCACTTCACTTAATGATCGAAGTCGGTAAAACACGTACCAACGGTCGTGGCGATCCTGTGATAATATCACGTATACTATCAGCGGCTGTAAGAAGTTTTTTTTTTTAAATATTTTTCAAAAAATTTGATCGATTTAGTTATTCATCATTTTTTGAATCTCCTCAGGTTAATTCTCCAGATGACAATGGCGCCGTCATGGGAAATTGGTCTAATGATTTTGGTGGTGGTACACCACCTACCAAATGGATTGGCTCGCAGAAAATTCTTCAACAGTATTATAAGAACAAGAAGCCTGTAAAGTATGGACAGTGCTGGATATTTTCTGGTGTCCTTACCACTGTCTGTCGTACCATTGGTATTCCTTGTCGTGTTGTTACCAACTATTCGAGTGCTCATGACACTCAAAATAGTTTGACCGTCGATTATTTTGTGGATGCCGAAGGAAAAATTATGGAGGAACTCAACACCGATTCCATATGGTGAGTGAAAAATTGGAGGTGTGATAAAAATTTTTTAATTTTTTTTTTATTAATTTTCATCCCTAGGAATTTCCACGTTTGGAATGAAGTCTGGATGAAGCGTTTGGATTTGACTGAGGAATGCGCTGGTTGGCAGGCCATCGATGCGACTCCTCAGGAACTTAGTGAAGATTCGTATCGCTGTGGACCGGCCTCCGTGGAAGCTGTGAAAAGAGGAGAAATTCTTCGGCCTTATGACAACGGTTTTTTATTTGCCGAAGTCAACGCCGATAAAGTTTTTTGGCGTTACAACGGACCGACGCAACCTTTAAAATTAATCCGAAAGGACATTTATGGGTAAGTTGATTATAATTAAAAATGATAATATTAATTAAATTGTAATTTTTGTTTTAATTAATTTTTTTTAATCAATTAGTATTGGACAACTGATCAGTACTAAGGCTGTGGGAAAATGGGAGAGAGAAGACATAACGCACACGTACAAATATCCAGAAGGTCGATATACAATTAAAACATACATATAGAGATATAGTGATCGTATGTTAAAGCTTGTTAATTATTAATATTATTTAAATAGACTCAAGAGAAGAGCGCACTGCCATGTTAAAAGCACTTCGACAAAGTGAATCGTCGTTCAGTCGTTATTATCTCAATGAAGAATTCAATGATATCATGTTCAACTTTGAACTTCGAGACGATATAGTTATAGGTCAACCATTTAGGTGTGTAGTTATCAAGATAATAGGATAAAGTTTAAATGCTTTTCCTTATTGAGTTATCACTATTTTTATGATCAATAATTATGCTCAATAGTGTCGTGATGCTTATGAAGAATCGTAGCACCACGAAGGGGTATCGTGTGACAGTCATACTGAGAATTGAAACTGTATTATATACCGGAAGAGTGGGTGATCCTGTCAAAAGGACAGAGACTGAACGTCTGGTTAGACCAGGAGTCCTGGAGGAAGTTCGCGTTGACGTCTCCTGGGAAGAATATGGACCAAGGTTATTGGATCAGTGCGCGTTTAATATCGCCTGCCTTGCTACTGTCAAGGATACGAATTTTGAATACTTTGCTCAGGATGATTTCCGCGTGAGAAAGCCAGATATCAAAATTAAGGTAATAGTCTTGAGGTTGTGATCATGGAGGTTATAGCGTGAATTGAGTGGTTGTCGCTTGACAATTATATGCTGCATTGTTTTTGTAGTTTGAAGGCGATGCTGTGGTGGGAGAGAAGCTGACTGCTACAGCAAGTTTTATAAATCCTTTACCTATTCCATTGAATAGGGGAAAGTTCATTGTCGATGGTCCAGGTTTGGATGAACAATTGAAAATAAAATTATCCGACAAGGTGGATGTTGCCGAAGAGGCGAGATGCGAGTTTTCCATGGTACCTAAATTGGCAGGACGTGCCACAATCGCAGCGAAATTTTACTCCAAGGAACTTGAGGATGTCGATGGGTTTATTAATTTAATGGTGAAGTCACCAAAATCTGAAAATGACGTCAGTTAAATTACGAGACTGAGATAACGAGGAAGGATACGTGATGAGAAAGAAAGCCAAAGTAAACGTGCTATTTATAATATCGAATATATGAAAAATCAGTGAATATTTATATTTATACTATTTTATGAAAAGAATGTAAAAGCCAAAAAGTAAAATGATTAAATTTACCTTAAAATGCAAAAACAATTTCACTTCGCCTAAAATCCAGTTCGGCAATTATTATCAGGGTGTATATGAAAAACTGCTCAACGTTCATAGAAAAGACAATTGCATTCTATTCACCTTCCAGGCTGCGGCACCCACAATTCAATATGTGTTTCTGGTCGATGCCTTACCAGCGTCTTATTCCCTTGGTATATTTCCTGGCTGCCTCAGAAGGAGAAACAAAGGAAAGAAATAAACGTCAGTTCCAATCCTGATCCAGTTCTTAAAGCCGTCGCCGAGCGCCAGCTACATATCACGGCAGTAAACTGAACTTCTGGTGTCCTATGAAACTAGTAGTTTTCTATCTATCCGTAAGTAATTTATTTAGTCAAGTTACCTGCAGCCGCACGACTACCGGCCGAGTTTCCTGCAGCATTAACGAGCGGTAATCGTCATTGAAAAATGATGATGACGGGACACCATGCTGATACGCGAGTAGATCCAGCGATGTATCATCATTGAAGAAATTAATGTTGAAATATGCACCACAGTGAATGATAAGACGTTTGGGAGGCTGGGTGAGATATGTCTAAATACGTAACCGCGACGCGTGATGGACGCGTAGCGGACCCTGTCTACGGGGGTCTACGAGATTCTATAAGGCCCATGAGGCCCATGGTGCCCATAAGGCTCACAGTGCTCTATGGGGTTCCGGACTGGGCACCCCGCTACGCGCTATGCATCAACACCCAAGATCCCATTATACCTCATCAAAATAACAAACACGCCTCTTCCACTAAACCAACATTCTTTGTTCGCGTCAAATCCTCGTATTCATCAAAATCTTAACTGAACGCAGTCGATTCTTTTTTCACTTAGATACACTCCCTTACTATTATTATAGCATTGAATACCAGCCCGAGAATATACCAGTACCTTTCGAGTAATCTATCAAAGTTTCACTTCCTACTTGGCAACTCGAAAATCTATTTGAAGTATCCATACTAAAACTCTCGTACCGAAAACTTCCGTCGGATGTCGCCAGTGTCGCATCTCCCAACAGTCGTTTCGAATTCGAAGCCTCCAACCAGAGTTTAATGCCCACAGGGATGCACGGAGACAATAGCACGTAAGCTCAGTGAAAACTTTTAATAAGAAACACCATAAAGTGACAGATTAATCCAAGTAAATTGTTCTCCCACCGTCGAAAGGAACTTTTTACACAGGCTGAATAGAAACTTCACGATAACTTTCCTGATTAGCCATTATTTAACGTGGGTCAGGCACGTTCCCCTTAACCATGAATATCCATTCACTAAACCGTGAAATCTAAAGTCTTCATCTCCAAGTCACCGTGCACCCTTCGAAAAAGAAGATGGAATCCGTCCGAGAGGAATACATTAAAAAATTCTCACCTGTGAACCACCACGATCTCAAATCCAAAGAATAAGCCAATTCCGCGAAAGACCAATGGAACCCGCAGATTTCAACGACCCAAACAACCGAATTCGTATACAACAAGATATATACAATTTTTGGTCGATGAGGGTTCAATACCCGTATATCAATCGCATAACGTTACTAAGAATTCCCTAGATTTTGTCGGACCCATCGATCCTGCCCTAAGGATCAAGACACCTGCATCCCCGGTGATGACTAGGCGTCCATCCGTATATAACTTAGTCCCATCATCCACCATAGAATCCTCTTCTCCAACGCCGTGTAAAGAACCTTCTCCACTGTACCCTAATCCGATTAGGGTTTCATCGAAAGGGGATCCAAAATTGTAGCGGGTTGCGTAGCCCGTATTTGCTAAGATCGTGTGTTTACCGACACTGACGAACAAATAGAAAGGATACAGACCCGGCATGCCTTACCGTGGTCTCCTATGGGAAGCCGACGGCTCGATTGGGGTGAAAGAAAAAAATGGTAGCACCGTATCGTAACGACACCCTTACTGTGGTACTAGCAGCCACTGCTGTCCCATGTACACACAATATACAGAGAGAGCCACTATACGTACACCAGTCTTCCTTCGAGAGGGTCGTATAGAAATGGCGCGTTCTCTCATTACGCATGCACCCCCCGAACGAGAACGACGACTGACTGACGGCGCGTCCTCATGGTAACCACCATAGAAAGCCGAAGCTCGCCGCCCCCTGTGTAAACCCACCGCCCTAATTGCCCCGACCCTGGCACCGACGCTCGCTCGCTTTACCATAATCTCCTGGGTAATGGGTTCCTGCCTTCCTGTCCTTACGTAAACTCCGACGCTGGACGTTCTTCGTGCTTCGATCGGTATATACGTATATACGTATATACGTAACAATGTGATTGCGATACTATTGGCTCGGAGTCCATTACATCCCTACGCCATTTATTCTCTTTCGAACAAGAGCCGTTATTCCTGAGATACTCGGAAGAGTAACTGTCGGCTGGATTTGATTAGGCTGATTTTTTAAAAGATATATTTTTATCGCGTTTCTATTATAGTATCTGTATTTGCTTGACCAGTGTCCTTTAAGGGTATTAAATTATTTTTATTTGATGCTTGTGCGAGGGGAATGGTATGGATGTACTGTATGTTTATATATGTATATATATTTATATACGGGGACAGAGAGGTTTGAAGAATCGGTACATAAGAGAGTCGTATAAAGTCAGATCGGAATGCAAAGCAGTGCAGCAGCAGTAATCGTTGAGTTATTCGGAAGAAAGGTTTACGATCCCCAAGGGAGGGATTGGGTTCCCGCTTGACATCGAAATCCCGTGACGTATCTAATTGGGGCCACTTTAGCGGCAGGGCGGGCAGCTAGGATAAGCCATAAGCCAGCCGACCCGCTGCAGGAGATCACCCTAGGCTTATAACTGCCGGTGAATCCTCCCGTAGAAACCCACACCCACCCCTCATCCCGCCGCCACCCAACGCCCCGATCTCCCAGCCCACGAGGCTTGTATCTCCGAGTGAATCCAGCGTAAATAATGCCGATTATCCCCCCGGCAATTGTTTTATCGACCGGGGGCACGGTTGCGGGGAGAACGACGACGCGAGTCACAGGGGCTCGAAAGACGCGGACGTCTGGCCCCGAGCTGAGCTTTGCCCGGACGAAAAACCGACGACGCCCAACGAAGACTCTTTTTTTTTTTCTAATTCCTTTTTGTCGTTTTCTTTTTTTTTTACTTCCGAACGATTTCACCCTCCAACCAGGGACGACCCTTTTCCACTTTTTGTGGTATTACGGGAAATATTAGTTTTTCTGGGTTTTTTTTTTCTGGACATTGCTTAGGGTGCTTCTGACCAATCTGAAGTTTATACCATAAAATAGGGGTGGAGGGTTGATATTATTTTTTTTAATTTTACTTTTTTTTTTATTTAGCCACTCTTTGTCGATACGGGGTAGTTTTGCCAAGGGTGTATATATGTATATATATATATATATATATATATATATATATATATATATATATTGTTTCTGTTTGATATTCGTCGGGGTAATTCAGATTGGCACTTGTAATCTTCTTCGGCGACTTCGCCGTGCATGGCTTTGTGGATAAATGTGAAATTACGAAGACACCGGCGAGCAGAAGAAGCGAAATAGGGATCGAGGAGAAATTACGGTAATATCGTTACACTCGGTTAGCCATAGCCCGAAAGGGTTTTTTAAGTGACAACTTTGGCGCGAGCCAATGACCCAGTATATAGAGCATCCCCTGCGTAAAAACCAGATGGCTAAGGAAGGAAAAGGGCGAAAGGTAGAAGCTATTCTTTATCCACTCCTTACCGCTCTGTCCCTAACGACTAAATAAGTCCCCTCAATTAAAAAACTAATTTCGATTAGAGTCCCTGAGCGACCATTCACCATCGCGTAACGACCAGGGGCGGGTTATCGAATTCCTTGCCTCGAGCAGACGTTGCGCACGGGGGACGTTTTTGACTACTAAAGAAAAAAAAAAAAATGTCCAAAAAATTTATTTTACAAAATTAAAAAATCATGGGAAAAATATTACATGAAAATTTTTTTATCCAATTTTTCTACCCTCGGCTCACTCCGCGCTCTTACTCTGTTTCTCCCCATTTAATTTTTTTTTTTTTTTTTTTTTTTCAAGTCCCATACACTACAGGTACCGTCGACTGCTCCGAGAAGCCATTTTCATCAAACGCCCAAACAGATACGACATGGATTCTCGAGTGACACGAACTCCTCTAGTTTTTCAGTGACGAGTCACGAGATTCCCTGTAGGGAGGCCGCCATGCGTATTTCACACTTCGGTCCCCTTCGCCCACGCCCAAACAAATATATAATGCGCATTAGAATAACAAATAGCATCGAGGCGCTCCACGCCTTCGGGTACCAAGTTTGCCCTCGCAACACATGTGGATACACTTTAGCAGTTTTCCTCGTCGTTTCAGACTCTTCTCTCTCTCACTCTCTTTACCTTACTCCTTCCCCTCGCACTGTATCATCGTACTTCTGCGTTTCTCCCTGGAATTTCATTCTGTTTGCCAAACACTGTCACGCGACTCTGCCACCCCCTCCGATCCCACCCAACGTATAGTACATTCTCAGCCTTACAAGAAACTTATGTTGACGACCGATCCGACGCTTGGTGCGTACCCGCCTTTAATAATTCGTCCAATATACGATTCACCCCCCATAAAGCTTAACGTGAAATTATTAAATAATCGAAAAAATCAAACAGGAATAAATACCTTAAAATTATCTTAAATAACACACCTCACGTGGTACCTACAAAATATTATTAGCATGAGCGCCTACGAATATTTTCATGTAACGTCTAATCCTATACTAAAAATGAAAGGGCATAGAATAATATATATTGTATGCGGTAGGTATACACGTGTACTACGTACCTCGAAGACGTATCTCGTGGTCCAAGGTGCCGAGGGCACGAGCCTCATCCTCTTCCTGGGATGTAAACATAGTGGCTCCTAGGAGTCGAGACTCCGAAGGGGCTTGGTGGTCAAGGGCGTCGCGGCGCCACTCCCGAAGGCTTCTCTGCCTCCCGTCTCTCCGGTACTTATGCTGGAAGTTAGAAGAACTTAGACAGATCTCGAGTGTGCGTGGGCTTTGAGGTGCGTCGTCGTGCCCAAAGTGTTAGAACACGTGTACGGGGCGGATGAGGAGCATCCCATGAATAACCCATGGCTAGTTTCGGTCACTGGGCCTCAGGCTGACCCGCTCGACGTATATAAACCGTCAAAATGGTTGTCTGCCTA